CTTTACGTGACACAAGACTCGGGAACACAGAGTCACTGAAGGCTCAGCTGACTGTGGGTCTGAGCCCAGGTAAAATGCAAAGGTCAACCTCTGGCGATATCTGAAGCATGGCTGGCTCTAAGCTTGGCAACGGCAAAGGTGATTATCTTCTCATTTCTTCCATCAGATGGAGAAGCCCTTTTAGCAGAGAAAGACCTCAGAGAGCATCTGTGAAACCTGAGATGCTATACCTCCACCAACCTTCTTTAGAAAGGAGACATTGTGTCCAGAAGGTACACGGCTGAAAAAAAGACTAGAAAGCTGAGACTGTACCCAGAATACACGTAAGCAATTCCACAATGTGCAGCTTTTAGAACACTCAAGTACTCCTAACCACCGAGCCATCTCTCCAGCTCTATGGGCAGCTTTTAGAATTGAATCCTAATGCTCAGTAGGCTTCCTAGTTAAGGGAGAAAAAAGATCACTTATTTACTTTTTTTTTTACTAATGTGTACATGGCTGTGGTACCTGAAGAGGCCAGAAGAGGGCATCAGATCCCCTGGAACTGGAGTTAAGGTGTCTGTGAGCCAATGTGGGTGCTGGGGACAGAACCTATATTCCCTCTGCAAAGGATCAGTGATGGTTCCTGATTTTAGTTGTTATATGCCCCCCATTCACAAGCCAATTTACATTTTGCTTCATCAGCTCTTATGCATGTTAGCAAAGCACAAAATGAGATTTTGGTACATGGCAACTCTGAAATGGAGTGTCACTGAAACGTGTACGTGTGCGTGCCTGCATGCATGTGTGCGTAGGAAAAGAAGCCAGGCCATGTTGACATTCTTCTTTTAAAAGCCTTTATCATCTACAGCATCCTTGCAGTTCTCAATCTTAGCAGTAGGTGGCGCCTAGATCCCTGTCTTTCATAGAGAAAAGGCTTTCCAGCACTAACAGCTGGTGCTGGTTTAGAAAAACAGCTACAGTACTCGGGGAAATATGAGGAACTTAGCATATTATTGAACTCAAGGAAGGGGCACTGCCATGCTATACAAGTAAGGCATAAACTAGCTGACAGTGCCCAACAGCTCTATTTCCTGATGTCTCAGATGTCCATCTGTGATGAGAATCAGTTATCCCATAGTCTTAGAACAATAAAACTCATCCCCCAGATCATCATTACTTAATCAAGTGTTGCCACAAGGGCTGGACCCTGAAAGATTCACCTCTTCATTGTCTGATTGCCACCACTGGCCCAGTAACTGAGGGGCATTTCGCACTGGCTAGTGCTGGACAGTGGCTTGGTGGCCACAGTTTTGCACAGTATGTGTAAGCCCTGGGTTTCATCCCCAGCCCAAGACAGGGGAACAGAAACAGGGGGGAAGAGAGGGGGGGGGAGGGAGAGAGAGAGCTGAGAAACCCATAATTTTGTTCAACTTTAACATATTTCTGTTTAAAAATCTACACATGGCTAGAAGCTGTCCTATTAAACAGCACAGCCATACTGAGCTTATAAAAGATATATGATAGATCTGAAGCTACAACATGAACTATTACAGGGAGATAACTTTTATTAAAATATTTTACTTTTCTGTGTACAATTCATTTCAATAGGGAAATGGCTTGAAACTTAGTAAAGGCATTTGTAAAAAGCCAAGATTGTTTTTCTTTGTATTTTATTATATAAGATGGTGACTGAGCTCATTTAAATTTTTGACTGTAAGTTGTTGGAAAACTAGTTTTCCTCCTTCAATTCTTGTCTTTTAGACAAAGTGCAAAAGGCTAATGGTCTATAAAGTACTTTTCTTTTTACAGGACTATATTTTTTGTGTCAAAATTTCACTGCAGGGTTCCCTAACACAATTTAACTCAACTGGATTATTTCTGGGTATATATTTACCTTAAGAGAAAAATAAATAAATACATAAACCTATGAAAACTGATCAGTAAAAGAGAAATTGGCATTCAGTTAACAAGAATGATGACTTAATAAGCCAATAAAAATTTTCTGGCCCTTTATTGATAATTAGTCACAAAAAAAGAAGAAAAAAAGGAAAAGGCAATTCAAGAAAATGCTAAAATTCTACTAAATTCATCAAACAGTGAATGTTCCTCATCACTTTTCATTCCCATGTGCTCAGAAAACACCTGCACGTCTAACAGGCTGCCTTCATCCTGGACTGCCCACTCTAATAGGGATGGATGAAGGACACTGCAACAAAATATAGCAGCTGCGACAGACACAAAGGCACCATAAGCCATCTCCTCTGGCTTCTTATATCCACCCCACAGATATTACAGCAGCATAAAGAAGGTGTGAGTCTTGTTAGGGCTCCCCATCTGCCCAAACCCAAGTCTTCTCATCTCCAGGGCAGAGACCTGCTAAGCTACAACTGTCATTTTAGAATAAGCAATGCCCGTACAGGTCTAATTTGTGTAGGTTTAACTGATGAGCTAATAAAAAGATAGGACAACTGTATATAGTTCGTTATATAGTTCTAGAAAAATGAAAGGAGTGGAGACAGATAATACTTAAATTCAATTACTAAAATCCTCAGACCCTCAATATTACAATTAGCCAATTTTAAGAATTCACAAAATCTTCTTAAAACTGCCTTGTTTTCTAATTGTTTGCACCCTCAGAATTATGATTCCCTTCAACCCTTACTTGGGATTCCTGATTCTCCCAAGCATGGCCTAGAAGCTTTCTTTCCCTATCTCCTTTCCAAGTGTTCTCCTTGGAGGTTATCCAGATTACAAGTTCAATTCTTCTAGGTAGCCTTTGGAGACTGAACATGCTGCCCCCATGGTTTTCTGTACTATACTGGGCACCCCACCTAGTCTGCATAGGTTCCCTTAGCCCACATCTTCCTCTCTGTATTCTTACCCATTCTCTTTCCTTTAGAAGAGTGGTATATAACTGATTCAATTTGGCCTATCGTACCTATTAAATGGCGAGGTTAATGTTGGATTATAAAAATGAGATGCTAGTAACAGTACAAGGAATATTATGACAAACAATGAACACTTAGCAAAATTTAGTTATATATACTTACAATAGATTAGATTAGATGCTAAGGTTAGGAAGAAGACAAGGCAGATACATTCTGTTCATTCTCTTTTCCACCAGGCCATGCACAAAGTGTGGTAGCACAGACATATGGCTACAGAGCAAAGCAAAAATAAATTCTAAGAATTGAACATGCCCCAAGTCCAAGGCCAGTATTCTTAGTAGCCAGAAGGGCTGGCACCTCTAGGAAAACAAAGGATTGACTGACAGACACAGGGTGAGGTTATCTATCATACTTGCCAGCAAATCTGCTCGAAAGGGATAAGGCAGCCAGCACTGTTTGTGAACGCTGACTTCTGTCAAAGAGTGCCTGGGACCTCGGTGACTCAAACACTGCTCCCTGACTCAAATAAAACCGTCATTAATGAATAATAGTATTTAACTGGCTGCCATTTTTCTTCTATACATCAACAACCCAAAAGAAAAAAAAATTTACTCCTTTAAAAAAAAAAAAAACAACTCAATTCTCCCTATGCTCTGAATGTCACATTACCAGTTATTTCCTCACAGATCTTCAAATCAACTACATGCTATCTTGTTTTGTTTTGTTTTGTTTTAAGCTCCTTGTTTAATCTTCTTTGCATAGGCTGTGCACACTGGTCACAACTATGCTCAGATTAAGGCAGGTCAACACCATCATCGCATACCACGTCCCAGCTACTGTGCTCACAAGGGAAGAAAAATTATTCACCCATCGAAGTCTGACTGGGCCAGACATCAGCCATATCCCATCCCTAGAATCTTTCCCCTTTATCCTCCCGGTGAGACACCATCAGGGCTAAATATAGATCTACGCACACCAGCAGTTCCTGACCATTGTCACATGGCGCTGCTGACGAAGGACTCCTAGGAGACGCGCTCACCCAAACATACATACACAAGTATGCGTGCTATTTATTCATATGCACCAGACCCCGCGAATTCATCTGCAAAGTGGTACATTTACATTCACAAGAGAAAACTGCAACCTAGGTGCTGTTCTGGCGCTATTTACCACACAGTTCCACCCCCATCTCCCTGCACTGTCATAGGACTTAGCTACAGTGCTTTGCCTGAACTGCATCAATTTTGATGGGGTAAGGTGGAAAGCAATAGTCAAATCACACACACACACACACACACACACACAGAGAGAGAGAGAGAGAGAGAGAGAGAGAGAGAGAGAGAGAGAGAGAGAGAGAGAGAGGCACACACACCTCTGTTTCCCACTTGCCCTTTTCTCTTGTACAGCCCAGAAGTTGTTCTCTGGGCTTTCCAATAAAAAGGAGCCTCTCTCACGCTGTCAGCCCACGAAGCTTCCAGGTAACCCAAGCCATATTAGTATCACCCGTACTGATGTCCGAAAGCAACTCATCTGGGTCCAAAAGGAAAACCAAACAAAACAAAAATAAAAACCAGGCTACTTGTTCAAGTTTGCATAAGAACCAGGGGAGCACAAGACTTCTGTTTCCCTGTCTGTTCCCTAAGACTCAGACCTTAGATTATAAGGAATCCGCAACAAAATGAACAACAGCCGATACACTCACACATACCCCAAGAAACTAGCCAGAAAGTATATGAGAACAACCTAGGTGTGCACAGGACGGTTAGAAGGAAAGCAAAAAGGATGGATGCGACTCCAATTCAGACAAACCCTCAAGATCTAACAAGATCTCCAAACAGAAGGCCTGTCTGGGCACTGGGGCGAGACGGAGCACTGGGTCTACGGATCCCCGGGTCCCGCGCTCAGCCCCGCACCTGTTGGGACCATGGCAGTCCACGGCACAAGCAAGCGCGGGAACTCCTTGGTCCCCGGCTCCGTAGGCGCTCGATAGCTGGGAACCTCGAGCCACGCCGGGGCGCACTAGGCAGCTGGCTCGGTCCTGGAGCAGCCAGCATCCACGCTGCCCCGGGGCTCGGAGCAGCTCGCTCCCTCCATCCCGCCGCGGGGAACCCTCTCCCCTGGAGCACCTACCGGCACACGGCCCCGGGCCTCCACCTCCTGCCTTCTGTACCGCGGCGCCCCTAAAGGCGAGCTCAGGACCAGGAAGCAGCGAACGCAGGAAGAAAGGAAAAAACCCGCCGATCCAGTCGGGGTCCTTGTTTATACTGAAACTCCAGCCGGAGCCGTGCACACCCCCTAGCTCCTGAGTGCCCGCCTCCCACCGGCCTGGCCACACCCATCCGCGCTGGCCACGCCCCGCCTCGCTGGCCAATCCTGGCGCCGCTCTCCGCCCACACCGCCCTGCAGCGGGCGCTTGGGGACTTGCCGGGACCCCGCGGTTTGGGACTCCCGTGACGACGCTGTGGCCGTGCCCGCCCACGCCGCGGAGGCTGGCTGGCTTGCTGGCGCAGCGGGACTCAGCAGCCTGGGCTGGGCTCACTCCGGCGAGCGTTTCCTCCTTCGTGCGGCTGCCCGCGGCTGTTTGTGCAGTCATGTGTCCCCGAGTGTGTATTCATTTGCCTGTGTGCTCTGCCTGTAAATACCGGCTCGACTCGTTGTACAGTATCTATTATCATAATTATGAACTGAAGGTTACTGTCCGTGTAAGTTTTGGAGGAGATCCGGGAGGAACCACCAAGAACTTGCTGAGAGCTAGGATTGTACAAACCCTGGGGCGCACACCGGTGGCCTCCTCCACCTGCTGGTCCGGGACCTCTGAGCTTAGTGGCTACTGGAGGGCAAATGCTAAGGAAACTGCCACTCACTAGAGATGCAAAATTACATGTGTTTGAACTTTCGCGAAGGAAAGGATTCTACTCTAATAAGCGAGGCTAGTCTTTGGTGAAGGTTGTGTTATCATTGTAACCATATACTTAAAACTGCCACTGGATACCCGAATATCTGTTTGGCGGGGATGGGGGGGAATAAAAAGTCAAAAACTTCCTTTGTATGCATAATAGAAACATAAGGGAAGAAGTGGGAAAGAGACCATTGTGTGTGTGGGGGGGGTATGATCTGGAGATTTATCAGCCTGTGACCTTGGGTAAGAAAAAAGGGCTTTGTGAGCTTCAGTTCATACATGAACACTGTTGGACCAGCAACCTATGGGGCTGTAATTGACATTACTAAGATGGAGGAACACTTTGTCCTTGCTTAAGGTCCCTCCCTCTCTCCTTCCTAGGGTGGAAGGAGTCACCTTGACCTAAAGTTCATCAGCTGTTCCTTCACTGGAGAATCATTAGCAGAGTCCCTGTCACTCATACCTCCTAGTACTTCTCTATCCTATGCTCTCCCTCTATATGTGGATGTCCCTGCAACAGCAACTTATTCTCAAAAATCTGAGCCTTTTGCTTAACTCTGCTGTTTCTGCACTGAAGGAGAATGGATTTGAACAAAGAATCAATACTTCAGGCCCTAAAATCATGGCTGAGCTTTCCATCCTGTGCTACAAGCAGACCATAGGACATAGGGCAAATTACACTCTTCCTGGACCTGTTTCAAGACACTAAGAGGGCTGGGCTAAACTAGGATTTCTTAATGGCACCACCCGATAAACCCTTTGTAACCCTGCATACTCTCGGAAACCTGGAAGACTACCCTTTTACTTTCTGAAATCTTGCCCACTAAACAAAAGATAAAGTTCACTTTAGATTCTAAAAGTATAAAGTGGGTGTCACTATGACAAAAGTTTTTGTTTTGTTTCCCAAGCCACATTCCAGCTCCCTATTCTGCCCAGACTCTCTTGGGGCCCTTCTAGCTCCAGTGAGAACCATTACTTATAGATACAACTCTGGAGCCAGCATTCCTAACCATAACCCGGTCCATCACACAGCCCCCTTGAAAACCTCCACAAGGTACTATAGGACTGTGGGACCTTATTTACTCACTGGAACACAGCATCATGGGCAACTTCTTGAAGAAGTTACTGAGATTAAAAGAGATGGAACATGAAAGGGGCTTATGATGTCTTCTTGAACTCGCTTAAAATTACCATCCCCCCCCCACTTTGATGGCCCTCCTTTCTCCTACTGTTTCCTGCATAGGTCTTGCCACCATTTGATACACTGCATTTTTCTTATTACTGAGTCTTGCCCCTCATTGATACTTGATAAAATATGAGCTCCATGGGAACAGAGCTTATTGTTTACCTGCCCTGTCCACTGTAAGGACAGTAACCAACACATAAGCCATTGGTAAGTATATGCTGCTTAATAAACAGATGGATGGGTGGTTGGATGGATGGATTGGTGGATGGGTGGGTGTCTAGCACATGGTAAGAACACAGTATGTAATTCTGTACCAATGTGTCTTCCCTTTTCTATACCTCATAGTTTCTTCCTGATCTTCTGATTCATTGAATCAATGTGTATCCTCATGAAGAATGTTGGAGGGCTGGTGAAATGACTGGCATGTAAAGGTGTTTGCTACCAAACCTGACCACCTGAATTTGATCCCCAGGACTCACGTGATGAAAGGAAAGAGAACTGACTCCTTCAGCTTCACACACACACACACACACACACACACACACACACACACACACAATTAATATATAATACAAATGGAAATACTAGTAAACCCAAAAATAGCTGACACAAATAAAGCCCTGTACAGTAGAACCTCATCTACTCTGGCGGCCTGAGTTACATTTCCACTCTACAGAGACTATAGAGCTACCTAGGGAAGGGTTGCTTTTCCTAGGCCTCCTGTACCTAAGGCACACAAAAGAAGTGCAAGTGTCGTCATGAACAGTGAAGTCCAACTTCCTTTCTTTTTGTTACTCTCATTTCCAAAGAAAATCCCAGCTTACATCATATTGTATTCAGTATATTTTTCAGCCCGCCTGTTGTGAACAATGATGTTATTGCTGTACTAATCACATGAGTATATTGACCTGTCATTGTGCAATCTCTCTCATTGTTTTCTTCTTTTCTGTTCACCTTGTATTCTCTTAAATAATTCACTTCACTTTGTTTATTACTATTGTGTGTGTGTGTGCAGTGTGTGAGTGAGTGTGTGTGTGTGTGTGTGTGTGTGTAAGCCTCTGTGTGAGTGCCTCAGCATGGGTGTGGAGGCCTGAGGACAACTTTTGGAAATAAGTTCCATTCTTCCACTCTGGATTCCAGAGATGAATCTCAAGTGTCAGGTTACATAGTAAGTGCTTTCATGCTGGCCATCACACTAACGCAAACTTACAGGTCCCTCTCTCTCTCTCTCTTCCCTTTCTCTCTCTCCCCCTCCCTCCCTCTCTCCTGTCTGTCTTTTAGATCTACTTTATTTTTAATTGTGCTTGAGCATGCTTGTGGAATGTGTGTATGTGTGCATGAGTGTGGGTCCCTACAGAGGACAGAAGACAGTGTTGGCTTCTTTGGAGCTGGAGTTACAGGTGGTTATGAGCATTGAACTTCCTAATGTGGATGCTGGGATCCAAACTCCAGTCTTTTGCAAGAGTGACAATCTCTCTTAAGCACAGAACCATCCCTCCAGCCCTTGGGTTATGTTTTTAAATAATCTATCCATATTAGCATACATTGGTGTCATTAACTCCTTCCGCCCACTGTTGAATGTTTTACCATACCTCTGGTACATTTGATTACTTGTGTTTTGTTAGTCCACAACAGAACCATGAGAGGCAGGTACCACTACTTACCTTGTGTTTGTGACAAGAAAGAAAAAGGAATGAGACTCGGGAAAGTAAAGAAGCCATGAATCCCAAGTCACTGTTTCTGCTCTTCCACTCCTAACTGCCTGTGTAAGAGTTTGTAAGGAATGCTTAAAAATAGAAGGCACGTGTATTTAAGTTAGAAACAAGCCGGTTTCTTGCACAGCAATGTTTATTATTTGCCTAAAATAGACACAGGTTTGATACCATTAGCTATAACTTCCTATTTCATTAAGGCACTTGAACCTTAAATGAAAATGTAAGTATAACTATCATAACTATCTTCAAATATCAAAACTCCTTGTGATAAAGGAAGATGAGTCACCAGAACATCAGTCAGGACTAAAAAAGCAAATGTGTAAGGGAGCATGATAGAAAGTCAGTGTAGTAGAAATGCTGAAGACATCCAGAGCCAAATTTCTTTTTCTTCCTTTCTTCCTTCCTTTCTTTCTTCCTTTCTTCCTTCCTTCCTCCCCTTCCTTCTTTCTTTTTGTTTTGTTTCATTTTTGAGAATTTCATACACAAGTTCACCGTCTTTATATTATTTCTACTAATCCCTCTAATCCTTCCAACTCCTCCTGTCCATCCACCCCCTATATTCACAATCTTTTATTCTCTAGTTATTGATACACACACACACACACACACACACACACACACACACACACCACACACACACAGAGAGAGAGAGAGAGAGAGAGAGAGAGGGGAGAGAGAGAGAGAAAGAGACTTGCTGAGACCAATTGGTACATAGATGGGGCATCCCTGTCATGTCTAGAAGGTACTGTCTCACAACATTCACCCAGGTCCTCTGTCTCTTACAGTCTTTCTGTCCTCTCCCCCACTATGTTCCCTGAGACTTAGCTGTAAGGATTGTCTTGTGCACATTCCAGTTGGGGCTGGGAACCTCATGACCACTTGTTCCTGCATTTTGATCAGTTGAGGAATTCTACAATAGCATTCATCTATGGAAAAAAAAAAGAAAAGTTTCTCTGATGAATGGTGAGAACTTGTACCTATCTATGGGTGTAAGGATAAATACTTAGCATATAGTTGGAAGTTGTACTAAATTAGCAAGATGATTGTAATGCAATCTCCTTTAAAGTCTATGGCCTCTCCGGACATGGGTTCATGGCTAGGTTTACAGCACCAGGTGTAAGTCCCTTCCTTTATGAAGCCTTTAAGTCCAATTAAATACCTGCTGGTTACACTCATATCATAAGTGCCACTGTTGCAGAGCTGGACTCTCTTTACTGTGGTTCACAGACTTTATGGCTGGTAGTTTTGTGAACAGCTTTTTTCCCCCTGGTAGTTTGCACAGCACCTTCTGATACCATGAGTTGTTACAAATCTTTAAGGGCTTCACAAAATGGTCACATAATTCCTCAGAATGTTTTTTCCATTTTTTCACTAATTTGTTCTCCCAGTCACTCTGGAATATGGGTATAGGCCATTGAAGGTATGAAACCTGAGCTCCAGTTTGTAAATGGATAGAAACAAAGGCACAGATCACATTACTAGTCACTAGGTAGCCTG